TTAGCCCTCCAGAAGTTACAAATCGTGAAGTATATTATACGTGCAATTTCAATGCTTGTATCTTTATGTTTATTTGCGAATTGAAATTTGTCAGGATTGAAATTACATATCAAACAACATTAAGCAATTAACATGGCGATTCCTAGGTATTTCAGGTGAATATTAAGGTTCTAGAGAGAATTTTTAATTCTGAATAGTTTCTGCGGCGAATAGGAGAAACCATAGATTCTCCAAGATTCAAATGGAAGATGTTGAAATATTTAGTTGAGGAAAGCATGTTCAAATATTTCAATATGGAAGTCAGACTGATCGATGCCAGTTTCTGAAATTTCTTGAATCTTAGTATCAGAATACACGATTTAGATATTTCTATTTTCACAGCCATTGGTAAAGTAACCTTGGATAAAGTAACAACTCGCGACTTACTTTTCTGAACTTCTGAAACAATTATTATTTAAGGAGATAGGAGTAAAATTCATTTCCACGAAGTGGAGGTCGATCAGTCTGACTTCAGACGGGAAATTCTGCTCAATAATCAAAGTGCATTAAACGTAATAACCAAACTGATTGGAGGGTTAAAACATTTTTTTTTATTACGTTCTGTTTTGTTTCTTTTGAATTCGAACTTGCAGTTGCCATCGATTACAATATCGACGCTTCCTCTTCTTCCCAATGACGTTCTGTTTTCGTCAATTATCGAGAATTCGATCGGAGCGATCGACACACGCACAAAAAGCATTCGCAGAAGCATTCTGTTCGTTCGACAGAAGTCGCAGCAATGTCAGGACCGATCGTTATAGAAAAATCGCCACAGCATGCACACACAGAGTAAACGATAGCGTGCACACTCGTTTGTATACATGTACCTTAGTTCATAGGTGCTCGCCGTATTCTAGCGATAGCACAGAATTGGGTATATTTTTTATCATCGACAGTTTTTTAATAAACGACCGTTCACTACTTTGTTTCTCACGCTAATTTGTTCTCTGCCTGTTTTCAGTTCAGCGTCGAGTGGAAATTGACGACGAACTTCGCGTCGCAATTTTGACAATTTCACGTCGTGAAATCTTTTACCTTAGAATTGAGGGAAAGCTGCCTTTTTCTAGAAATAAGACAATATCGTAGTGAAATTTAGACGTTTTAGAAGCTCGAGAGTTCAAAGTTGGAAATTGTGACTGAATCTTTACTGAGTTAAAGCGTTGAGATCATAATTCTAAAACATAAAGGATTCGTTGCCTAAAGTTACAAGCTTGCAATTTGTAGCTCAGTATTGCAAATTACAAATTCCTCCAAAAATTAGTATTCCTATAATAAAAACTTTCTGGAACAAATTAAAGGAAGCAGTTGTAGGAATTTTAATCATGGAGGAGCATATATGTGGCTTGCAAAACGGTGAAAAAAAAGAGACGTTTATACAGATGTTTCAAATCAGTGGGAACACGCCGAGGACGATGATGTATTTTGACAGTATGGCACAAGTGTCTGCCGAGAGAAGAAGACACTCTACTTACAGATATTTCTGGATCATTCATCCTTTCAGCAGTTGGAGGTATTTCTGTGAAATAATTAAAAGAAAGAAAGAAAGAAAAAGAAAAAAAGAAATTGAACTTTTTAGAAATGTGATTAAATAGATACTGTTTGAATTCGTAAGAAATTTTTCTAGATTTTTCTGGGACTTGATAATGACAGTGATATACCTGGTCGCATTTCTGTCGATCCCATTCTCAGTCTGCTTCATCGTCATGAGCCACGATGAAGTTCTAATGGATAAATTTAACATTACAATTTATACTTTCTGTTGGCTCGACATAGTATGCAACTGCTTCACTGGATATTACGATAAGAAGAGCATGCAGGTGGAATTGAATCCCTCGAAGATATTCGTGTAATTTATTTCCTAATACTGTAGAGTTTTCTGTGAAGTTTTAATTGATTTGAAGATATTTGGGATGACTTTCCCATAAGGATGAAAACGGCGTTGCTGATTTAAAGTTAATTTCAATTTCGCGGAACGTCATTCAGAAACAAATGAGTTTCTTCCGCTCTTTCTTTTGATTTCTCTAAAAAAACTTACGACT